CCTCCCCGATCACTTGCTGATTAGCGGCTTTGTTTCAACACCCACTTCCCTCTTCCCCCCCTTTTTTAAAAAAAAGCATGATCTGCTTTTTGCCCCTGGGCAATTCGGCTCCAGGGACCACCATTTGTTCCATAAGATGCAAAGACATTTACCCTTACTTTTTAGGAAGGAAAAAGTGTGTCTTATGGAGCGAAAAATACGGTATATTCCATTAGTTTTCTGGAAGTGGCTTTTACATGGTGGAAAAGCTCAAATATAATGCAGAAATTAACTGTTAAGGAATCATCGGGGAAACTGAATAAAGTGCAATGTGAATGGAGCCTTGTAAGTAATTCAAATTAAAATTAGTGAGACTTACTTCCACATAAGCATGAATCAGAGCAAGCTAAAAGGCTGAATTTTATGTTCATACTTATCCAGAAGTGTCTCTCAAGGAAATCAGTGATGGTTGCCTAGTTTAATATTTGGCTGGAATGGGACTTAGAGGTAATTAACTTGTACTGGATAAGACACAGTCTCTTTTCAAACACAACAGCTTTCTTCTGAAAAAAAAGAAAAAGAAAAAATGTCTCACTTCCAACTCCCTGTATATTCAGAAGCAATGTCCAAAGTCTATTTTTCTGGGAAAAAGTAAAGTAATTCAATTCGGTTTGTTCACTGAAGGCCAAGGAGGGCCACATCTTTCAGTATTTAGTGTTAGATTAATGGAGAGAAAGACAGGTAGTGAAATCTTGCAGAAATAGCATTTCCTCGCAGCTGGAAGTTTCCACTTCCCAGTTCCACGTACTCTGAACAGTAGGTAATATATTTCTTGAGGACAGCAACATTGGAGGGCAGGGTGACCAAAAAGGTATTAAATCACCTATCATCCCACATCTGTACAAGAATGCCTCTTTTAGCCGAAACACCATCAGCAAATTGTAATGCACAGCAGGAAGTTAAAGGATTTTCTTGGAAGAAAAACAACATATTCCAATGTGCTATGATGTTCTCCACAGCATGATAGCACATCGGCAGCTGTCCAACCATTGCAAGAGATAGCAGCAAGAAAATAATTCAGAAGACAGATTAGTTTGAACCAATTATTAGAACAGAGCTCTCAAATTGTCAAGCTGGGCTTTTGAGAATTTCTCAGGGGTAAATTCCTAGCTGTCTAAGGGTGGATTTCCCCCCCCCCCCAAAAAAAAAACCTGGATGAAATATGTTACTAGTATCTTGTGAGCATGCTGCAGGCTGGGCCACAAAGTTTTATGATTATAAAGTCAAATAGGTTGGCTGATTCCCCACCTACCTCTTTTCCTCTGTATTAACTTGTGGCAAGTTACTATTCATTGTATGAATGGATTGTATCAATTAATACCTAGTTCTTCTCTTGGTTTCTGCTAGCTCTTGGGTAGATTTGTCCTCTTCAACATTACACCAGCATGGTTACTGGAACACAGGTGCAGTGTGTGTATTTTTGGCTAAAATATGGGTAGCATTTTATTATCCCCTTGTATGAACTGAATAGGTTTTTTTTTTTTTAAGAACAGTGGTACCTTGGTTTAAGAACAGCTTAGTTTATGAACAACTTGGATTAAGAACACTGCAAACTCGGAAGTAGGTGTTTTGGTTTGTGAACTTTGACTTGGAAGCAGAAAATGTTCTGCTTCCGGTTGAGTGTGTTCCATTTGTAAATTGAGTCCCCTGCTGCTATGGGAAAGCATGCCTTGGTTTAAGAATGCTTTGGCTTAAGAACTGACTTCCGGAACAGATTAAGTACCACCGTACTAAATTGATAACTTATTTATAGGCTCACTGTAACAATTTTTAATGCTAGATTTATTTATTTTTTAAAATATTTTTTATTTGATTTTACAAGTGTAGAATTACGACAAAACAAAATACACACCCATATTTAGAGATTTTTCTGAATCTCCAGACTTTCCACCTTCCCCTCCATGGGTCCTATTGTCAACCTTTTCAACTGCATATTATTTCATAGTCCATATTTTATATCTTTCCATATTGTCCATTATATTTGCTACATTACAAGTGTTATTACAATCCTGCTAATGTTTTCATCTGTTTACAGTGATCTCCTAAATAAATTATAATTTCCCCCCATTTTTTATTGAAGTTTTTTGTCTTCTTGGTTCTTGAGCTTTCCGGTCAGTTTTGCCATTTTGGTATAGCCCATCAGTTTGGTTTGCCATTCCTCTCTGGTAGGGACTTTATCTTCTTTCCATCTCTGGGCTAGTAGTATCTGCTCGGCTGCTGTTCCACGCATAAAAAGTATTTTCTGCTCCTTTGGGATATTGGTACCTACAATTCCTAATAAAAATGCTTCTGGGTTTTGTTTTGTTTTAAAATAAAGGTTATTTTAAACATTTTTTTCATTTCATTATATATCATTTTCCAAATTGCTTTTATTACCTTACACGGCCACCACATATGGTAAAAGGTACCTTCTTCTTCTTTTTTACATTTCCAGCAGGTATTTGTACTTGTCTTACAATTTTTGCTAACTTACTAGGAGCCAAATACCACTGGTTGCTACATCATTTTCATATAGATTTCTTTAAGTGTACAACATGCCAAGATAATGCAAGATTTTTAATATTTTTTTGTTGCCAACTGATAACAATGAACCTGGGAAGCTGCCTTATACCAAATTACACCATTGGTCAACCTAGCTTAGTATCATTTACCCTGGCTAGCAATGGCTCTCCAGTAGTTTCAGTCAAGGATGCTTTCCTCAGCCCTTCCTGGAGATGGATTAAACCAGGGACCTACTGCAGGCAAACTATCTGCTCTAACAGAGCTCAAGCTCTTCCTCCTAGAGTTGCTTGTTTTTGTATGAAGTTTTGAGCTGGTTTGGACTTCTTTGGGGATGGAAAAGTGGGGAACATATACAAATGATGATAGTATGCTATTTCAGTCCATTATTCCTGAGGCTGTCTTTAAAAATGGTTCAGAAACTGTCGTTGGAACTGGAACTGTCATTTTGATCATATTATATCAGTACTTTACTGGCTGCGTTGGTACCCAGTCCATTTCCAGGCTCAGTTTGAAGTGGTGTTTCGAACCTAGAGAACCTTCAATGGCCTGGTAGTTACCTGCCTCCTCCAGCATGTACCTGCCAAAGCCCTAAAGTCATCCTGAGGAGGCCCTGCTCTGGGTGCCACCACCAAGTTGTGGTGTAATGGCTAGACCACTGGGCTAGGACTTGGGAGACCCACATTCAGATCCCTAAAAGGGGGGGGGGTAAAGGACTCCTGACAGTTAAGTCCAGTGGCGAATAACTCTGGGGTTGCGGTGCTAATCTCGCTTTACTGGCTGAAGGAGCTGAAGTTTGTCTGCAGACAGTTTTTCTGGGTCATGTGGCCAGCATGACTAAGCCGCTTCTGGCAAAACCAGAGCAGCGCACGGAAACGCCGTTTACCTTCCCAACGGAGTGGTACCTATTTATCTACTTGCACTTTTTGGCATGCTTTTGAAGTGCTACGTTGGCAGGAGCAGGGACCGAGCAATGGGAGCTCACCCTGTCACAGGGATTCGAACCGCCGACCTTCTGATTGGCAAGGCCAAGAGGCTCAGTGGTTTAGACCACAGCGCTAATCCCTACTTAGCCACAAAGCTCACTGGGTGACATTAGGCAAGTCCCTAAGTCTCAGCCTAAACTAATCCCATGAGGTTGGTGAGTACAAAATTCATGGCGGGGATGGGGGGAGGGGCACATCAAGGTCTTTAGAAGAGAGGTATAAGTGTAATTAAAAACTATTAGAAATGAAGTGAGGCTAGTGGCTACCAAGGTGAAAACCTTTGCCACACTTCTCTGTGGTCTTTTTGCCACCAGGTGAAAAACCTTTAAAAAAAACCAAACCAATTTTAATGCATTTTAAGCTAATTTCATTGTGCCTTATTGTGGCTTTAATCAAAGCTGCCAACTGTTTATGTTCTCTCTATTATAAGGAAATTTCCCAGCTCCCTCTCTCTTTGTGATTGCTTATTGTAGATTTTAATTATTCTGTATTGTATGTTTAAGGTTATCTTGTTTGTGAACCACCCGGGGAATCATTGCTGGTGATGGAATACTGTGAAGGGTTTGATCTCAGGAATATGCTTCTGTGAATAGGATTGAGGGGGTAGTCATTACTTCATCCTCCTTCCTACGCCAGAAAAAGAAACCTCTCCATATTTTAAATTGCAAACCAATTTGTGAAGGTTCTTACATTTTGCTTCCCCCACCAGCAACTTTCAAAAGCAGCATGCTCAACAACTTAACTTGTGGCAGCTAACCATGCAGTTCAGCCTGTTGGCCAGTTTAAAGCTCCCTATTTTAAAAAGCATAATATTTCCATCCTCCAAATAAATCCCACCAAAATGTTTTCAGACTTTTCAGGAAGAGAGAATGTGGCTATTTGACTTTGCCCAATGGGTGGCACATCCCAAAATTATTGCAGGAGGCTCCATTTCCAAAGATTGAATCAGATCGCAGGGAAGGGGTTATTTCCCCCACTCTCAGCATCGAAGCAGGAGTCAATCCGAGAGCCGAGTGTTAACAGAGTGATACCAGCTATCAAAGGCAATCTCTGCAGACAAAGATAAATCCAATCTGGGAAGGGTTCTCTGAGCCACTGCCAAAGAAGATGGCAACAAATATATCCTTAATTGAGTTTTCAGCAACTTGCGCAGCTGAGGTTCCTTACTGTAGTGAGAAGAGTTTGCCTCCCTCCTGTTTCCTGACTCCAGGCAACAGCAGACGATAAGGACAGGCCATTTTAATAATTTCCCTAAGAGGAGGAAACTGCTAACTGTCTGATGCTATGCTCACAAGCAAGCTGTCTCATCAGCTCATGCTGAAGCCTGTAATCTGATTCTCCTAGCAAAGATGGCATAGTGATGAGTATCCTTATGGTTTTGACATGGGTCCATGTTCATGTGGATATTTATCGGTATAACCTTGGAATGGCCACACTAGTGACTTCCTCCATTTCAGTACCTACATTAAAAAGAGAAGCTGAGGGATAGCTCAGTAGAGCATGAGACTCGGTAGAGCATGAGACTCTGAATCTCAGGGTTGTGGGTTTGAGTCCCATTTTGGGTGACATATTCCTGCATTGCAAGGAGTTGGACTAGTTAACCCTCATGGTCCCTTCCAATCTACAAGTCTATGATTCTGTGATTCTGAGTTAAGGGGTGGTATCCAATGCTAGCCTTACTCAGAGTAGACCCATAGAGGTTAATGAGTGTGACAAGTGCTTTGTTTCTAAAAAAAATATATAAATGTTTAGGGGTACTCTCATTTTCCCATTCGTATTGAAATACTGCCCCTCAATGAGGCCAAACTTAGATTCAAAAAATGTTTAGGGGTATGTGTACCCCTCCATACCCCCAGAAAACGGCACAGAGTGTGAGTAATTTAGGTTCATTAGGACTCACCCACAGCACAGATCTGAGTGGTTTTCTACTCATCCCATGCTTTTTACGCATGGGTCCACGTGGTCTTGCCTTTGCCCAGCTGCTTTCACCCAGAAAACCTGCTCATTAGCATAAAATCGGAACAAACAGCAATGTGTGGAAAAACCAATTGTCATTTGTTCTGATTCAGTGCTAAACTGCAGGTTTCCCTGGGGGAAAGCAGCAGGGCAAACAGGCGTGTGGATGGGCTTCTAAATGCATCTACTCTGATTAAGACTAGGATTGGCTGAAATGCAGAGACTGTTTTCTTAGGGCAAGTGTTGAGATTTAAAACGACATAGCGTTCATGCTGTCTAGATTTGAAATTGGTTGTTTCTCTTGTAAAATCTCACAGAAAGACAGCACCAATTGACATTTCATTGCACTGTCGCCATCATCATTACAGAACTATCAGCAGATATGCCTCTGCTGGAAAAGGTTCCATAGACAAAAATAGATAGGTCCTTGTCCCCAAGGAGTTTGCAGTCCGCAAATAGACTGGGGGGGGGGGGGAATCAACAACATGGAGAAACAAGACCGAAGAGGATAAACGAGGGGAAATGGTACCGCATGTACTTAAAATGTGTTTGCCAAAACAGTAAATCAAAAATAACCCTGCCCCACTGTTGTCACATTGGCTATATGTATTGCACCATTTGTATGAAGCATTTCCATTGAGGTCTTAACAAGACATGTGAATGGGCCATGGCACGCAGCCATGCTTTTAGGGTGCACATGAAAGACTTACATGAATGAGTGTTTTAATAATGACCAACATAACAATTCAGAGACTACAGAAGTTGCCGTTTGCACCATACTTTAGAAAAGAGGCAATGTGCATGCAGCCTGCAAAGTGAATGTTAGGAGCAGGAACTCAGGGGAACTCAGTTATGGTACCTCTCAGGTGGGTGTCATTGCCATTCTAAGAGAACAAGGGAGGTGTTCATGGTGAATTCCAACACCTCTTTTTCTAGGAAAAGAGCACGGATTAGGAGCCCATTAATGCAATTAAACAAGGATCCATTTTGATGTGGGATAGCATCACATTGCTCTATTAGAGAAGCAAAGCTTAGTTTTCTCTGTACTTAAAAAAAAACAAAAACGTGTTGAGAAGGATTGGTATATGTATCTATGCCTGACAAGGACTTAGTGTTTGTAATAAGGCCAGGTAGGAATTCAAGCACTCACCCCGCTGCCCTGTGTTGCACAAAGATGCAATGATGGAAGCAGCTGTACACCCCAACCCAAAGCCCTATGTGCGCTGTAATGCACACACAAGCCATAATCCCAAGAGTTACTTGAGGCATGCTTGAAGGCTTCCGCATGCCAAACCTTGGAACAGCAGATCCCCTGTGCCATATGTCAAACAGCTTTTTAAAAATCACATTTCAAGAGTGATTTGATGTGCAATGTGAGAGGCTGCTGCTCAGGAAATACATGTCCAAAATCCCTCTTGCTGCGCACGCAACTATCTGTATTGCTCTTCTGAGTTTTCAGTAATGCTACTGTGCCTGCAGATTGTGACAGTGTCACAAATGCCCAGTCCAAGTATTAAGGAAGTTGAGACAATGGGAAGGGAGCAATTAGGACCCAATAGAAGCAAGATGGGAGAAGATGGAACAGAAAACCTGCTCAGGCAAGACCATTACTATTGATGGAGACCTATCACACCAGAAGCCAAGGTTAAAAATAAGGTAGAAGCAATTTTCAGAGAGCTATTATAAACAGGGAAGGCCAGGACTGGTGAATCACAGCACTTGTGCAACTGTTCAATTGTGATTCTGTTCCACCCCATGTACATTAAAAAAAACCCCATGTGCAATTCTAAATGTATGCACCCCAAACAAAAGCCATTACACCTGTTTACAAGGTCATCCAATACCCAAGGCCTGCTTTTTATTTGATAGATAATGACTGCTTGGAATAGATACAGAGTATGTCACAAAATATGCCCCGGGAGCGATGAGATGTGTTGCTGCCCTATCCTTCCTAGGGGTATTGTTTTGGGGAAAAGATGGGTGCCTCCAAGGAAATTTGTGGTCCCATTTTCACTACCTGTGACACCACACACCCACTTTCTAGCCACTGTGTTTATTGCCTGTTTATTCCGCCCCCTCGAAACACAAATGTGGAATTTGATTGAGTCAGAATCCCAAAGGAGGACTACATTCTAATCTGCACATTAGTCAAAGAGGAGGAACTCTGATGCTGTGGCATGCCTAACCACAACACCTGCGTAAACCTATGCGCAGAATAAAGAGGTGAGCCAACTGCTGTTGCATTAAGAGGGCCACAGTGTCAGGCTTCAGGGAATCCTATACCTTGCACAGTGGCAGCCAAGAAGCAGATAAACAAGAAGAGTACTTACCAACTAGTTTATTCACTATACACAGAGGGAGATGAAGGATAATGGCATTGTTCCAAGTAAAGTCCCACCCCCTCAGTTTCTCCTATTCTACATCACCCCTGTGCCAGCTGATCTGTGATTTCTGCCTCTGAGCTTTCTGTTCTACTACTCTCAAGGCACAGCTGGTTCTGGAAGGGGCGGCGGTGGAATGCTTTCAAGAGACACTGAATATGTTAATTGTCTCCCTCCTAGTGATTCTTGTTCCTGTATTTGCTCCAATATTTTCCAGCTTCTCCCCTCTGCAGCCTCTGAACTATGCCCTTCTGCAAACCACTGTTCTGAATCTATACTGTCTTCCTCTTCTCCGGGAAGGTGCAGGAAGAGGAGGGGCGGTCCCCACAATTCCTCATCAGTCCAGTCCCTGATACACAGCTTTAGTAATACTTAGAATAATAGATACTAAATTGGGGTGGTTAAACTCTGGCTCAAGACGATCCATGTACCCCCGAACAAGTTTTTCTGGCCAAACAAGATCCCACATATTTTGACAGTTGGTGGGGAATAAAATAGATAAAAAGGTTTGTGTGTGTGTGTGTGTTTTAAAAAAGATTAGCCACCCCTGCATATTTGTGTGAGAACCTTGGTTAAGGCAGGCATTGACTTGCAGCCCTGTACCCCCACCTAGATAACAAAGAAGCCTTTTTATGCCTGCGCTCACTCATGGTGAGTTGTCTGCTCATGGGTGGCTTGCTAGGTCACTACTTATGTAGGTTTGCTCTAAATAAAAATGGAGATGTGACCATCCACTGTTCCACTATATTAAGCTACTTTCATTGTTGAAAGCTCTTTGGAGTTTTTGTTTATTTCTTTACCTTGATTTACTTTTCCCTATATTACTTTCCAGGGAACGTAATGTGTATTACATTTTCTCATCAAGACTCATCAGATCTAGGATGGTGGCATACAGGAGCACTATATCAGACAGCTTTGTTTATATAAAGTTCAGAGCAGCAGAACTGAATCTTGCATAAATCCCTGCACCCTTTCTTGCTGTGCAAGTTTATGTTAGGGTTAACAATGGAGCCATTTGTTGATCCTGCAGAATGTTCCAGAATGCCTTCAATCACTGCAGACCTGCCCACCCTAGACTATCTTACATAGGAGAACCTGGAAAAGGACAAAGTTCATGGTCAATGACTAGTTTTATGACAAAGGTAAGCAAAGAAGAAGAAAAAGAAAAAGAGGTAAAGGTAAAGTCCAGTCAAAGGCGACTATGGGGTTCTGGCGCTCATCTCGTTTTCAGTCGGAGGGAACCGTCATTTGTCCACAAACAGCTTTCCGGGTCAAATCGCCAGCAGGACTAAACCGTTTCTGGCTCAATGGAACACCGTGACGGAAACCAGAGTGCATGGAAATGCCGTTTACTTTCCTGCAACCTATTTATTTATTTGCACGGGCATGCTTTCGAACTGCTAGGTAGGCAGGAACTGAATCAGGAGCTCACCCCATTGTGCGGATTCAAACCGCCAACCTTCTGATTGGCAAGCCCAAGAGGCTCAGTGGTTTAGACTACAGCTCCACTCACTATTTATGGCAGGGGTATTCAGAGGAGGTGATATGGAGCAGTGGCACTAGGGTCTCCAGTTGTTGATTAGTTGCCAGATAAACAACGGCATGCTTTATCTGTTTGCTTGTATGAAACCATAGACACTTTGTTCTTTGTGCAGGGGCACAGCAACGAACCACGTTCATTCACTTTTCCTCACTGTCTCCCACTTTACCTTGATTGCTTAGGAATTGCAGAGAGTTAAGAAGCTGGTTTCTAATAGCAACTATTGTTAAAGAGAAGCTGATTAGTTATAGATTTAGACTTAAGCAACTGTTGTCTACCCCTTAATCTGTGAGGTAATTGTATACCTGTCTATAAAGAAAATAACTAAGTGCAGACTTTGCCTTTTTATCTTCTTCCCCCCAACCCTCATTCTGAGAAAGGGCCCCAGAAGTACAGAGCTGAGGCTTCAGAAGTACCCTGGACAGCTCCCTGCAGGGTTTTGGCTGCCACCTCCACAAGCGCAAAGGTCTGGTGTTGTTTCAGCAGTAGTCATCCTCAAACTGAGCCTTCAGAGGGAGAGGTAACTCTATTCCAGTTGCTAACTCTACCTTTGGTAAGTGGAGCCTCTTCAGTTAAATGGGCCCAGCTTGCTTTAGCAATGAATGACTCAGGAAGAGTAGAGGAGATTATGGTTCCACTAAGCCTTCTGAGAAGGGACGCGGGTGGCGCTGTGGGTAAAACCTCAGTGCCTAGGACTTGCCGATCGTATGGTTGGTGGTTCGAATCCCCGCGGCGGGGTGAGCTCCCATCGTTCGGTCCCAGCTCCTGCCCACCTAGCAGTTCGAAAGCACTCTTAAGTAGATAAATAGGGACCACTTTATAGCGGGAAGGTAAACGGCGTTTCCGTGTGCTGCGCTGGTGCTGGCTCGCCGGCTACAGCTTCATCACGCTGGCCACGTGACCTGGAAGTGTCTTCGGACGGCGCCGGCTCACGGCCTCTAGAGCGAGATGAGCACGCAACCCTAGAGTCGGACACGACTGGCCCGTACGGGCAGGGGTACCTTTACCTTTACCTTTAAGCCTTCTGAGTGGAGAATGGCACACAACATCCCCAGGCCAGAAATATAATGGCACATTGGGCTCCTCTTGCGCAAATGCTTCTGATTGGATATGTATACCTGGGGCTGGTCCTGAGGCCAATTCCCCCTTGCACTCAGAATCTTTAACTTCATCTCCTGAGGAAGAAGAGTCTGATCTAGAGGGTCATGACACACACATATTGAGATGTTCTTCAAATATAATCTCAAATCAATCATGAAACACAGAAGATCTAATTCTCCCAAGAGGGTTTGGTGGCCTGCTTGTGAATTTCTGCTAGAGTTGCCCTACTTTATAAAGGACCATCCTTTATTTGAAGGGCTGTCAGTTCCAAAGATAACCATCAGGAGAAAGAGCAGGAGCCTTGAAGTACCTGGTCAGCAGACTAAAAAGGCACATGGGTAATATGCAAACATAAAAATTAGCATAGGAAATGTTGTGCACATGTATATCCTCTTTTGTCCTCTCTTCTATTGATGCATATCATCTTTTCGACGAGGATAGGTTGTTACCAAAATGCCTGTTCCTATGCTTTAGCAGCAGTTTTTGTAAATATGTTATAGTGAGTTATCTCCATGCTGTGAATATGCATCTTATTTGCTCATCTGCTTTTCTCTGCAGATGAGTTGCAAGGGAGAAAATTAGACTAGGTGAATCTATTCTTATCCAGTCAGTTGGCAACCCTAAATCCCATGCCAACACCATAAGGTATCTAGAGTCAGTAAGCATATAATCAAAGTCAATATTTTTGCTTCATTGTGTATCTCTATTTACTTACATTGAATCCCCATAATCTATGTGTTAAAACAAAACAAGTTTTAAATGTTCCCTCCTCAGCTTAATGCAACAGCTGCATTACTGCTGCTAATTAAATACAACTGAAAAAACTTCATTCATAAGCACTGAATCTGAGGAACTTTAATCCTGCAAATGAAAACACTGAACTATTTTCCTAAGCAGCGAATTAGAAATCCCGAAGCCATCTAGAAACTTCCATTGCTCCTTCTATTTATCTTGCACACAAACTGTTTTGCCTTCAGTACATGACTACAGGGTGGGGTGATAATTGCAGCAGTTACAGTTTGACTAACTTCCTAACCTTTTGGTGAATGTTCAATTAAATTTTATTGTGTAGCAGTTAACGGGCAGCTATCATGCCAAAAAGTTCTCCTTGAGACATATTAAATAGCCACCGTTGACTTTTCAGCTGTCTGTCATCAAAACTGCAGCTATACCAACATTTCCCAAAGTTTTGATACCTGGGGTGTAATGATGATGATTATATATATATACACATCACCTTTTCCGCAGAGGGGATGCAAGGCAGCTTACAGATAAAAACAAGAACTGCTAAAAACATAGAAAAATAAATCATTAAAATGCAATTCAGCATTGAGAAGAAGAAGAAGAAGAAGAAGAAGAAGAAGAAGAAGAAGAAGAGGAGGAGTTTGGATTTGATATCCCGCCTTTCACTCCCTTTAAGGAGTCTCAAAGCGGCTAACATTCTCCTTTCCCTTCCTCCCCCACAACAAACACTCTGTGAGGTGAGTGGGGCTGAGAGACTTCAAAGAAGTGTGACTGGCCCAAGGTCACCCAGCAGCTGCATGTGGAGGAGCGGAGACTCAAACCTGGTTCCCCAGATTACAAGACTACCGCTCTTAACCACTACACCACACTGGAATTAAAACTATATACATATATAAAATCTATTTAGAATGTACCAATAATTACAATAAAAACAGCATAGCACGATCCCTTTAATTGAAAGTAGTCAATCCCAAAAGCCTATTGGAACAAGAAAATTGTGACCTGCCAGTGAAAGGACTGCAAGGTAGGAGCCAGTCCAGCTTTTCTGGGGAGGAAGTTCCAAAGTCTGGGAGCCACCACCAAGAAGGCCTGTCCTGTCCCCACCATGTATGCCCGTGAGGGTGGCAGGTCTGAGGTAAGGCCCTCCCCTGAAGATCTCAAACCCCAGGCAGCTTCATATGAGGGGATATTATCTTTCAGATAACTTGGACCTGGGCTGTGTAGGGCTTTATCGGTGATGACAAGCATTTTGCAAGGAAGTGGTATGTTCCCTATAGCCAGCTGCTTAAGCAGACCTAATTCTGGATTCTATGTATATTTATATATTAATGTGTAAGTGTATAAATGTATATGTATATTTATACATTATATCCTTTGCTTAATGAGACCAGCACTTTGCACTGTGCATGGAAACAGACAGGTAAGCAGGGCAGCCAGTGTAGCAAGGGAGGTGCTGTAACCTTCCAATAGTCCCAACAGTTAACTTCATCCCCAGAAACGCACTCCTTCATTGTCTCCTGAGGCAGATGGGTGCCAACCAAAGTAGACCCAGTGAAATCAATTGGATTTAAGTTAGGGGCAGGGGTTGCCATGGTTGGGCATTTTCCAAGGCTACATCCCAGGGCTCAGATCACTGACACCCTGACTTGTCTACAGTACGGAAATAAAATCCACATGCATTGCTCCACCCAGTTTTGCCTCTGTCCCCACCCACCCATGTCATGTGACACTGAGAAAGTTGTCCAGAAGGCAATGTGGCCTTTGAACTGAAAGAACCTTCCCTACCCCAATATCTTCTCTTCTTCTCTGGCGGTCACTCATAGCTGAGTAAGATTGTAAAGGAAGGCAGACTATGTTTAGGGCCTTTTCTAGCCCCTCCCCCTTTTTGGGAGCAGACTGGATCCTAAGTAGGGTTGCTCAGTCATGGATATAGCTGCTCAGCTGCCTCATTCCTTGAGTCACAGTGATTGAATCTGTATCCACCACCCATGTGCTGGTTCATGACTAGGGGCTTCCAGATTCCACAGCCCTGCCCCCTTTACCATTTGCCGATAACCATGGGACTTTTGGGGGTTTGGGTTTTGGATGGGTTTTTGGAAGACATCTGTGCGTGAATTTGTTTTATGTGTGTAGATCAGTGCACGCTGACCAATGCACAGTTTTCGCAGTAAAACTCTATTCCGATGGCATGAGTATCACAACGACTGGTAGATTCTGATCTGCTGCAGCCCTCATCTGCCTTAACAGCCATTGTAACATACTGCTTGTTATCATCCGCCTGTTCTGCCGTTGAGGACTTCTTGGATCATTCTTTGTCTAGCTCCTCCCCTTTGAACTTACTGCCTTGGGTGACCCTGCTGGGAGTATGAAACTCCTGATGGCTTCGTTCACAAGGGTCATAGGAACATGCAAGCCCACTCACACTGTAATCTCCATGTTGTGAAAGTTAGCATCAACATTTCTACCCAGAACTCAATGTAACTGAATGGTGAAAAGCCTTGAGGGACACTTGCATAATCTAAAGTCAAAACCGGTTTCATCCCAAAGAACCTGGGTTCAATGCCATGCTTGTCAAGGATAACAGCATATAATAGAACTGGATGCATAGCTACTGTTGGCTTGTTCCAAAAGTTAAGTGCAGAGTTCAAGCCGCTCACCTTTAATTCCCTCCTACTAAAAACTTACTGAACCCTAAACAACCTTCGCTGTGGCTGTTTGCCATTTTTCATTAAGCAAAGGATATACAGGTACACATCAGTCAAACACAATACAGTATTTATGTCAAGCTGGCGTGTCACTCTAGTTTAGGTCTGCACGGCAGCTGAAGTGACAAGTTATGTCTATCCACTGGAATGCAGTCGTGTAATTTCTCAGGAACACATGTCACCACAGTATAAATTAGCTGTGCTTTTCCTAGCTGAAAATAAGTCAAAATCATTTCGCATTTTCTGTAGGACTGGAGCTGTCTGCCAGTGGTGCAGAGCGCATGGGGAACAGGTACACAAAGTTGGCTGATTTATGAGACACCACTTGTCAGTCTTGTTTTCCATATAACAAGCAGCAAGATGAAATGATAGAAAGAAGCATGATGGGAAAAGTTTAGTCTTACAAAAAGTTGTGTCAACACTGGAAGCAGATTTCATATTAGTACTGAACACACACACACACACACACACACACACACACACACACACTCAGGCTAATATCTGAGATTTAAATAAAGAAGTGAATAGATTTTCCCCAGTGAGTGTCGGAACAAAAATGGAATTATAACTCTATAAAGGTGTACTGCATTAATACAATCATTATGAAATGGTCTATCATTGATACCAGTAGTTCAGCAGTAGTCAATGTAGCACCCTCCAGGTATTGTTAAGCTACAATTCCCAATGCTTCACAATGTCCATTCTTCACTTGGCATTACCTACAGTAGGGATGCGGGTGGTGCTGTGGTCTAAACCACTGAGCCTCTTGGGCTTGCCGATTGGAAGGTTGGCATGGTTCGAATCCCCTGACGGAGTAAGCTCCCATTGCTCTCCCAGCTCCCGCCAACCTAGCAGTTTGAAAGCACACCAGTGCGAGTAGATAAATAGGTATCACTGTGGTGGGAAGGTAAACGGCATTTTGGTGTGCTCTGGCTTCCATCACAGTGTTCCGATGTGCCATTCAACCCCACAAGAGTGACTCAGGAGAGCTATATATGCTATATAAATTATTATTTAGCTATGATGCTATAGTTGTGATGTCAAGGGCTGGGCAGAGAAGGAGAAGTGGTGGAGACTGCCGCCCCATCCTGACCCTTCCAGGGAGGAGGAAGAGGAAGATAGTATAGATTTACAACAGGGGTTTGAGGGAGGTAGCAGCTCAGAGGTAGATGAGGGGAAAAGTTGGGAAATCATGGGAGAGCCAGAGCAACACCTGGCTGACATCTTGTCACTAGAAAGCATCCCAGACCTACCATCTCCCAGAATCTGGCAAGCCTTAAAAGTAGGAGAGCAAACAGCTTAAGACAGAGGGCACTTAGTGGCATCCATAGAGGAGGTGATGAGGTTGGTGAATGAGGAAGTGGGCGGTGGAGATTTACTCAGGACAACACCATTATCCAAGATGCTGGGTTCTAAAGCCTCTCTCTGTAAAGTTTGAAATAAAAAAGGACTGTATGAAACTTTTCCTTGTTTTTATACTATTCTGGGCAACCAGCCAGGATCTGCTGACAGCACCCTGACAGCAGTGAGCAGAGAGCAATAGCCATTCAAATTACATACCTTCCAACCTTTCTTGAGAAAGGAAATGTGGTTGTATGAATCCATCCCAAAGTCACCAATAAAGTTGATTATTTGATGGGTACAGGGTTGCGAATGTATATCTATTGGCCTCAACTTGCTGGGTTACAAACTGGCAAACTAATATAAAACTTTCCCCCAATAGTAAAAGTTAATATATCCCCCAAATAAAACTATTCATCACCTGTTATGGAGATCCATCTTGACAGGGCTGAGATGCAGTCTGACTGTTAACTGTTTTTGGCTTTACCAAGACTTAAAGCACAGCCTCTTTGTGACATCACACATGACATCAGAATGGCATATTTGCATTCAACCTAGACTATCTCCATGCCAACAGCAATGGCCAGTAAACTTCTGCAACCAAGTAACCATCAGCCTGACTACCCAGTGGTTTCTATCTAGACTATTGGATGTTTATTTTTTGCTCTCATAATCAAAGCCTGAAGAAGAGCTTTGTATAATCTGAAAACCTGCTTCCAGTCTTAAAGAAAACTAATTGTCAGAGACTGGGCAGAGGGGACTTAGTGCCACCTGTAGAGTAGGTGATGATGAAGATGAGGAAGTGGGAGAGGTGGGGGTTGGAGTGGAGATTCTCGGGACAACGCCATCCAAGAGGCTGGGTTCTATAGCCTCTCTCTGTAAAGTTTGAAATGAAAAAAGAACTGTAAGAAACTTTTCCTTTTCTTTATACTTTCCTGTGCAACCAGCTGGGAGCCACTGACAGCACCCTGACAGATGCTATATAAATTATTATTATCACCATCATTATTATTAACAATTCAAAGACAGCTCTGGAAGTCTCTGTCCTGCATCCTCTTCACTTTGCTTTCCTTCTAATCTGTGCCCAGGTTTCTTTCCTTAAACAACTGTGGTTGCTAAAAAGTTGCACACATGCAACTTAGTCTCCATAAGAGTTGAGGGTCTGGATTATAGCCAATAGAAATAAATGACCTTTTTATGATAGTGGCCATTAATATTCATGGGAGGAAAGTGGTAGATCTTGGCAAAATATTTTTGAGCATTTACACATTACAGTGGTACCTTGGGTTACATATGTTTCAGGTTACATACACTTCAGGTTACAGACTCCACTAACCCAGAAATAGTACCTCGGGTTAAGAAGTTTGCTTCAGGATGAGAACAAAAATCATGCTCCGGCAGTGTGGCAGCAGCAAGAGGCCCCATTAGCTAAAGTGGTGCTTCAGGTTAAGAACAGTTTCAGGTTAAGAACGGACCTCCAAAACAAAATAAGTACTTAACCCGAGGTACCACTGTATAAGGTTATCATGAGGCAACAAGCAGCTATAGTCTCTCTGAATGTGAGGAACAGCTTGGTGCAAATGAATCTCAACAATTAGCCAGCGATCTGTCCTGAAAATCAGTGTTTATGTCATTACAGGCTGGATATGACACCTTCATGGAAAAGTGCTGTGACACCTTGGAGACTAAACTGCCTTATATGTTATCTGAGCTATTATAGGCAATGGCCTACTTCATCAGGTGATAAGCACTCTGGGGAGTGGCAGACACAACATGCAGCATAAAATTAGGGCAGTCTCTCAAGCTGTTTTGCTCCCTGATGCAAAAATGATCTCACTTTTCCCTAGCATATCGTTTTAACGGTTGCAGTTCTGTGCCCTCCCTTGAGGTTCAACTGATTGGCAACTCTCTTTCCCTAACCCATACAAGTGACTAGAGAAAAAAGGCAATGGGATGCAAGCAGGAAAATTGTATGATGGGCACACAACATAGAGCCTTGTTCCTCAAAGGAGTTGAGCAAGGAGGCACTCTTTTTTGCCCACTTGAGGGCTTCTTTATTTAGGACAACACCTATTTTATTTGTTGCTGTTGTTGTTTAGTCGTGTCCAACTCTTCGTGACCCCATGGACCAGAGCACGCCAGGCACTCCTGTCTTCCACTGCCTCCCGCAGTTTGGTCAAACTCATGCTGGTAGCTTCGAGAACACTATCCAATCATCTCGTCATCTGTCGTCCCCTTCTCCTTGTGTCCTCAATCTTTCCCAACACCAGGGTCTTTTCCAGAGAGTCTTCTCTTCTCATGAGGTGGCCAAAGTATTGGAGCCTCAGCTTCAGGATCTGTCCTTCCAGTGAGCACTCAGGGCTGATTTCCTTAAGAATGGATACGTTTGATCTTCTTGTAGTCCATGGGACTCTCAAGAGTCTCCTCCAGCACCATAATATCAAAAGCATCAATTCTTCGGTGATTAGCCTTCTTTATGGTCCAGCTTTCACTTCCATACATCCCTACTGGAAAAACCATAGCTTTTACTATACGGACCTTTGTTGGCAAGGTGATGTCTCTACTTTTTAAGATGCTGTCTAGGTTTGTCATTGCTTTTCTCCCAAGAAGCAGGCGTCTTTTAATTTCGTGGCTGCTGTCACCATCTGCAGTGATCATGGAGCCCAAGAAAGTAAAATCTCTCACTGCCTCCATTTCTTCCCCTTCTATTTGCCAGGAGGTGATGGGCCCAGTGGCCATGATCTTCGATTTTTTGATGTTGAGCTTCAGACCATATTTTGCGCTCTCCTCTTTCACCCTCAATAAAAGGTTATTTAATTCCTCCTCACTTTCTGCCATCAAGGTTGTGTCATCTGCATATCTGAGGTTGTTGATATTTCTTCCTGTAATCTTAATTGTGGCTAGGGATTCATCCAGCCCAGCCTTTCGCTTGATGAATTCTGCATATAAGTTAAATAAGCAGGGAGACAATATATTTTATTTTATTTTATTTACCCTCCCCCTATTTTATTTACCCTCCCCCTAAAGCTGTTTGTACTTCCTCATTGGCCCTGGGTAATCATCATCATCATCATCATCATCATCATCATCATCATCATTATTATTAGACATCCTACCCTTCCTCTGTACATGCAGCACTCAGAAGCTTGCAACAATTTTAAAACAATAGGATCTAAGAAAAAAATATTATTTTGAGAAAGAGAGATGCAGTACATGAAATGCAAGGAATTCAGCCGCTAAAGAACATCAGTCTGGCAAATCAATTCCTGCCAGAATTTATCTTTGGCTAGGCATCAGAAAGCAAAAAGACAGGGAGTCAAGCAGACCTCCAGAGGTAGGAAGTGCCATAGTTTAGATCTGCCCACATCAAAAGGTTGTTCCAGTCTTCCAGCTAGTTGTGCCTTGGGCACCCTTGGAACATGAAGAGGAGTCCTGCCACCTTTCATACAAGGTATATTTAAGGAGTGGGCAGACTGGCATTGGGGTGGGGGAAAGACCATTAGTTATCCTAAGCCCAAGTTATTTTCGATTTAAAGGAGCTGAACACCACTTTGAATTGAATTTGGAAATGAATTAATGGCCTGCGCACCTTCCGTAGAATTCCCCATCGTCACCTTCTAGCAACAGTCTTCCCATAATGATCAGAGCACTACAAAAAGTGCTTTCAAGGATAATGTTTCCCAGAAAGATACTGTAGACAATGGCACTGAATATTGCTGAGATGTTCAGCTGAACCATCAGGAACATTCTCCTCGTGTTTGGTTCCAAGCATAAGCCTTCCACCAGGGTGACCAAAACCCCAAACCAGACTTGAAGCCAAATTGAAATGTCTAAATAAGTTTTAACCGAGAACCCTTCAAGCTTAGTTGCTACCATACACTCATACCCACGTAAACCCAGGATTAATGTTGCAATGCCCTCCACCCTAAGGTCACAGTGGGGCAATTAACAACAAGCAGAGTGGACTTTATGAATCTGGTTACATGTTGTCCAATGATCAAAATAGGTTTTTATAGCAGCCATCTTCAGCCTGAATGGTGCTGTACCCTGCTCTGAAGGGGCATCACCATTTTCCTAGTACACTGAGGTAAACATCTGTCATGTGACAAAGACACATGAGAGCAGAAGCAGCAAAGCAGGCTGGGAAGTGCTGGGACTGCACAATCATTTGGGCCTACTAAAGTTATTCAGGCCTAACTGCTAACTGTTGAGTCACTCTGACGTGTGACTTAGCAGTCAGTTTCACTTTGTGTTCTCTGTAGGATTTCAGCAGAGTCTGTCTGCCTCAGCTGTGAACAGAGTCAATAATTTATCTCAGTCAAACTGTTTGGTACCATGTTGTTTATGAAGAAGTTTATTTTAAGTCAGTAAAGCTTTTATTCAATTAAAAACTCTGCATTATTAATTTACGCTGTGCGTCAACATCCTCTAGCTGCTTTAATAACTCAGGGTGGGCAGGGTCAATCGCGTAAGTGGTCAGCCCCATGGTTCTAAGGATCTTGCCCACATCCTTGGGTTGCACAAATGGAAACGCATCTGTTGCAGCAAGACGAGCAGGTAGCAAAGGCACTTCACTGGGATCTGCTGTGAGCATGGTGTCCACATTTTACTTGATACAAGTGATTTTAGCTGCACAGTGTCCAGCAAAAGTCCCAGCAGGCTACAGAGCACTCATTCCCCATGCAAAGATGTGGCAGATCATTAGCAGTTCAGAACAGCTCTGATGGAGAATTCTGGGTGGTGTGCAACAATAGCGGAAAAGTATGACTTCTTTGAAGCCATCTCCCCTATAAAATAGGCCCTAATATGGACGTGTGTTCTGCCCGACTTGTCTGATTTTTCCTCTGCCATCGCTGCATTTGTTGTCCCTGCTGTTTCACCATCTCTGCAAAACCAATGAATCAGTTTGCCTCCATGTAGGAGGAACTGCTTGGGAATGAACCTCTCAACTCCCCTGGTTGCTCCAGAGTTTGACCAGAGCTTCAACAGAACCACCAGCTGAGGTGACTAATCTTTCCCAAGAGCAGTCAAGAAAACATTTTGATCCATCATGTTTTTAGAACATTCCCCTCCTCACTAGGTACCTTCTAATTCCACAGATGTTAGAATATTAGACGCGAAGAGCTGCTTAGGATGGTCCAGAGAGCCAGGAGAAATACAGCATGAGTGCCTTGGATTTCATTCGCCTAGAGTCCTGCCTCTCATTCAAAGGGATATGTGTTCTTCATATTTGAACAAAATACAATACCTGCTTGATGAAATGTGTTTTTACCATTCAGCTGGAAACATATATGCAGGTGAGGAAGCCCAGGTTTCCCTTACTCTCTCTCCTTGTGCGTAAAGCAGCAACAAAGGAGAAGGGAATACAAAATATATTCTTCTCATTGTTTATCGCCAGTCATGGAAATGTAGCTGATACTTGAGAGCCAGCATGGGCCAGGAGAACTGGCGTACAAGGTGGCTGAAGGGCATTCCAAATGCTGGCTTTGATAACAGCTGA